TATGGTGCATAATGTAAAAGTTCCTGTTATATAAGCGTTGTCGTCCTAATTAGTTATAATCCTAAGAGCAAATTAAGCGACTACGTCATAATTGTAGAATACACACAAATCTCATTTATTCTGTTCAATTTTATATTATTCGTCGAGCGAGAACAACAAAAGCTTAGAAATAGTGGTAGTTTGAGCGTACAATCGTGACATCAAAGCTAATATCTATTTGGAATAATTGTCCTATTTGAAATTGAGAAGACTAAGGGCCCGTTTCACCATTTGCTGATATAGTACCAGTTAGTTATCTAACATACAACGCTATCTGACAATTAAAAGTCACTGATATTATCCGTTTAGTTCTATCTGAGATTTGTGAAACCAAAATATGCAAGTTATCTGGCAAATAAGTTTCTGATAGGCTATCAGGGACTTAATCAGCAAGTGATGAAACTGGCCCTAAGCTTTTTTTCTGTAGCAAGTAGTGCAGCCTGGTTTCTTTAAATCTGCAATTTAGTTGAGACTTTGCTAGCTGGGTAACAATAATTTTAACCATGCGCTATATAGTCTTCAAATTGAACTTAATCAAACCCACTATTCCAAAATGTAAATGTGCTTTACAAATTTTCTACTACTATAATAAAAAATGAGAGATATTTTTAATGGAAAATTGTTAAAAATCCACCAGCCCAGGAACCCCAAGGGACTCGAACCCACGACCTTTCGTAATCCGGGCGACTGTTCTATGAAAGGTCGTGGGTTCGATTCCCACTTCGGGGTACCTAGGGCTGGTGGATTTTTAAGCATGTTTCATTAAAAAATATATCAGTATAACATTGTAAATGCAAAATTGATCAAATATAAAAATAAGAGATTTTAAGCTTATTAATGTTTTTATTTAAAAAAATAAAGTTACTCATTAAAGTTACAAATTAAACAATTTGTTTTATAATATTTGATTGTTGTTTTTTTTCGAATGATAGGAATGAATTATTTGTACATACTTAATTAATTATATGTTCTATTTTCTGTATATTATGAATCGACACCTGGCTAGGTAAAAACTATTTAGGATTAATTTATAATCTTTACTTTGTTGAACGAATTCCGAAAGTAAAATATAAAATGAAATTATACCTTTTTTATTTTATTTTAACACCTCTTGTGTACATGTAGGTTTTCTTTCGCCGTGAAAATCTACTGCAGATTATGCCGGCCGAAGTTTATACTATAAATGATACTTTTATACTATGAGCTTCCATTGTTATTTATAGAATATTGACGACGTTTTTTATGGTTTTCACGACGAAAAATACGTTCATGTACAAACAACAGGTGTTATTCCTTCTCCTTGACAATATGTCCACTCATAGTAAGTCGGATAATGAAAAGACATTTAAATATTCATCAATATATTGTAAGAAATATACCTAATACATTCAAATCTATTACAATACACGCGTCAGTTCTAAATGTCATTGATTGATTGCATTGAATTCTTACATTATGACTCTTCTTACTATCTAAAGATTCTATATCTACATTTCACATAATACTCACGCCTCAGGTCTCAAACGCATATTTCTTAATAGGCACAAATCTCTTGCAGTATTTTTTCTGCCATATGCAGTAGTTAGATCATAAAGCCTAAGTATAAGCCCTATATTAAAACTATCAGGAAGAGCTTTTATTAGTGTAGGCACGAGCTCACTGGGCATTTTTTGCAAAACCACTTGAGCTCTGTCATGGCCACACTGTACTATATACACCAGAAATTCTAATATAAACTGAGTCTGTGGTGTAACATCACCATTTTTGCCAGCCAATTGCGAAAAAGATTTATACAGAGTATCTAAAGCAGACTGCAATGGTTCTCTCAATACCACCCCAGAAATAGATTGGCCTTGAGAATAATAGATACTAGTGCTATCAGACGCATTGTCATTCAGTCTTCTCACTTTACTAGAAGAGCACATTGCATCTAAATCTTCGGCATCATCGTGTCGACGTTTACGGGAACTATGAACTTTATTATAAGAATTACTGTGTTCAAGAGCAGCATAAATGCAATACACAGACAATTTCGCCAATATGGATGACTGAGGTTCCACTAGCTCTTCACTTAGTTTAGCATTGTACAAATACTGAGGCAAAACATGTAATAATAAAGCTTCAGTACATTTCTCAATATCCAAATGTAACATTGCAAGTACTACATCAACGGATCTGTCAAGGTCATCTTGATATCTGAATTTTAGTGTTTCTTTGATAAGATATGTCACAAACCAGACAGGACCTGTAATATTCAAGATACTGTCAACAATGTGAGTAGCATCTATATGAAGATATCCTCTGGATTTGATGTCCCCCCACACAGCCTGAAGCTGTTCTAGCATTGGTTGATTAGAAATAATACTGTGTGATAGAGCGACAGCTTTTGTCTTTGGTACAGAAGCAGGATGGACTTCATATTGCATTTTCCTTATAATCTGACACATCAATATTGCTCTCTCCTTAAAATTATCTATTTGTGTCAACTCTACTTCTGTAGGAGGTGTCAAAAATTGCTGAACCATGTTTATTGGTTTCAAAAATGCTTCTTGATGTACAACATTGATGTAGGAACATAACCAAACTGATGCACAGACAGCCAATGAGGCCATTTTCTGCCTTAATGAATCTAACATACGTTTTACATCTGCAGCAGTGAGTGATCCTTGTTCCCATGCAAATAATATCTCCTTTACTGCCCCACTGACATTCAAAGCAAGATCATGTGGTTTCATATTTGTATTCTTAAAGTCAAAGTCTGGTGCACTAAGATGATGAATTAAAATATCTACCATTTGTGAATCACATTTTTGTGATATTTGATCTGGTGATTTATATATTCCCTTACAAGGCATACATTCTCTAACCCAGTTTTCAAAAAATGATTCACCATTTTCTTCTAAAACAGCATCAGCACCATAGTCTTGCACTATTGAGCATAAAATCAGGAATGAAATATCAAAAATATAAACTTTAGATTGCGACGCACCTTTTTCAGTTGCAGAAAGAAGAGCAAATTCATTGAATTTAATAAGCCTTGATACTAATAATTTCAATTTTCCTTCAACTGTAGCTACTGCTAATATTGTGTCAAGTGTTGCTCCTCCTACTATTTGACACAGCATAGTATAAAGAGATTCTTGCGTTTTATAAAAGTCACCTCCCATAGTTTTTAAGATACCAGTCAATGTAGGTTCAGCTCGAGTAATGAAGCTGGGTACAGAACCTTGTAGACCTGTTGGTTCTAATTTCTGTAGCTTTACATCTTTGCTTTCACGTTTTTGGCTAAAGTATGACAAATGACTTTCAGACAAAACATTCAATTTTACCAAAGGTTCTATCAATGATACCACACTGTTACAAGAATTCTTAGTGTCGACAATGTCTAATAGTGGTGTGGATTGCAACAGCAATTCAAAAGCTTCAACAAGTTCAATGGAATATTCATTTTCTTTATTAGTAGTCCCACACATATTATGAAGGTAATGCATAACTTGAGGAATTTTAAGGAAAGTAAAAGCTGCCCACAGTGCCTGTTTTATTGCATCTTTACTCGAGTCATTTAATGAAATAAAACATGCCCTGATTAGTTCACAATAAAGTCTAGACAATGGGTATCCCTTAATTCTTTGCACCATCAATAACTGATTTGACAACTGCTGCAGATCAGCACTAGGATGAGCCAGCACATTTATTGCTACAAGAGCCTGCAAACAATGTGTTATTGTCTCTGGTTTATTATTCAATGGAGCAATTTTATCAATGTCCATATTACATATTCTCTGCAATGTTTCATGAATCGTAACGGGTGCTTTGAATTGTGTATTCATCATCATGAATGCGGTGATCTCTTGACATTTCTTTGTGATCTCATTGTACTCATCAGGGTCATTCTGTTTTGCAAAGTAAAACATTGCTAGTAGAAAATCGGTATTGACAATTGAATTAAGAACCGAGGTGGATTTCTCTAAAATTTCTTGGCTCTGAATAGGATTAGATGAAGGATATTTAGTAAGAGAATAATGATAAACTTGAAGAAGCCATAGAATAATCGAAAACACAGAGAAAGCTAACACTTCTTCTTCCATTTTGCCTCTACATGTTATGCTGTCGAGAAACCCTTCTAGAAATTCTAATAGTGCAATAATGCAATGAGGTTTATGAAATGCATCGAACTTGGCGATTCTTTGAAGTACTGCGGCATAGGAGACTAGATGTGAAGCCAAAGAGTGTTTCAAATATGATATCACTAATTGGTTTGCACCACATCCAACCATGGCTTGTTGGAGAATACAATCAGCGAGGTTATAAAGATCACCACTTACGCCTCTAGGCAGGATCGTTTTAATGTTGATACCCCATTGGATGTCTGTCCATCGCTCACGCCAGGCTTTAAGAATCAGTGCTTTCAAAGAGCTTGTTTTACTAGTAATCTTGGAGGCATCCATTGTCACCGTCAGCGAATAGTTATCACTTAACAAATTTACACTATCAGTAACATTAAAATTACTTCATAAGGTTATTTTAGGATGTTTCGATATAATATTTTAAAGATTTTCATTCACTTATGATTAAAATTATAATTTCCTTAGAAATTATTACCAAACATAATACAACCACCTGACGTGACAATAAACACTAAATTTGTTTTTTATTACAATAAAACTTGGATGTCAATGTCACGATTTTACGAATGTTATGTTTAATCTGATTGGTCAAAACGTATATAACGGATGTAAACGAGAACTTACCTACTATCTTCGGATTTGCGTTTAGTTATCTCTAACGGTGAATGATTAAGACTTTCTTTGATTACTGTTGATAAAATAATTATTAAAACCAAAAAACCAGGTCTACTTGATAGAAAACATATTAAAATAAATATAATTTGTAGAAAAAATATTGAATTTTCTCTCTTTATCGCTCGTCCTAAGATCTCACTACCAAAGAACTAAACGCCTAATGTCAAAAACAGGCCCGGTAGCACACATGTTTTTGTTTTGTTTACAAACTTTTGTGCTATAGTTTTGTTTCTATTTTAATTAAAATGAGTTTTAAAAATTATAAAGACAAAATTGATGAAGGTGATACAGTTATTCTTTACCTTAGCAATAATTTATATGCCTTAGAGGTACGTCGTGAAATAAAAAATAAAAAAGGGGAAATGATAGAGAATGTTTTCCAAACACCCTTTGGTGCTTTAAAGGTAAAGAACTTGATTGGAGCTGATTTTGGAAGTAGGGTAAGTTACAATTAATAGATCCCATGTACAGAATTGAGATACATATAGTATACTTTAATTATTAAGGTTATATTCAATACAGATGCGCCGAATATTCGTTTAGTAGTCGGTATTCGTCATGTTTTTCACTAATTGTATTCGTCCGAATTAATCGGTTTTGGTGCCGTATTTATTTGGTTCTAGTATTTGCATTTTATTCGCTACATAACACAGTATAGTACTAAAAGACAAAACTTCTTATGTAACATTTAAATCAAAGAAATCTTATGAAGAATATATCCAATAAACCTAATAAAATAAAGCAATTAAACTTCAAATATTTTTTTTTAACCTTTTTATGCAGCAAATGAGTGAAATGATAGGCCGAATATCTGTTTCCATAAAAGTTGAACCGAATAATATTTGGTATTTGGTTAATAGGCGACACCCCTATTCGGTGCATATCTAATATTGAATGGAAATATTACTTTTTGAAACACATTATCGCTCATCATAATATGTATACAAATAAATGCTTTGACTTTATTTCACCATGTTAACCAGGTGGAGTTATCCAAAGGATGGGGCCATGTTTTGCAACCGACGCCTGAACTCTGGTCTTTGACATTGCCTCACAGAACACAGATCATATACACACCCGATATTAGTATGATATTATTACAACTTGATCTTGTACCTGGTAGCACTGTAATTGAAGCTGGTAAATACAGAATTTCCTTATAAACCAATATATTATTTTCTAAACAATTTTAACATTGACTTTTAAAAAATGTATAAAAATTCACTTATTGTCAATTACTTCAAGATTAAACACAATTATTTGCAAAAAAAATTGATATACTATAAAATTCAGGCTTTTTATTAGATTTACATTTTGACACTAATGCCATCTGTTGGTTGTTGAATAAAACTAATAAAACCTTATGATGGGTTTATTTAGGTACAGGCAGTGGCTCCTTAACTCATGCTTTGATCAGAAGAGTGAGACCTCATGGGCATGTTTTTACATTTGACTTCCATGAACATAGAGCTAAAATTGCTAAAGAGGAGTTTGAAGAACATGGCATTGCTGACTTTGTTACGGTAAGGAAATGCATGTTTACTTTAAACAAGTTCTTAGTACTTATTATTCATTATTTTCCTAAAATCTTACTATAAAATAATTTCCATATGACCTAAGTTCCATATAAATTTATGTACATAAAAAAAATTAAGTCTGATTAGGACATCAATGAATGGACAGATTTACCTAATTTTGGCTTTATAATATTTGTAGTCTGAGGACATTCCTTAATATTTTTTATTTTTATAATAAATAGTAAAAACAATTTGAATTATCATTGAAATTTTAAGTTAGTTTTTGAAAACTGAATAAAACATATTATATTTAATAATTTTGTACTTTTTAGGCACGACATAGAGATGTTCTGGAACTTGGTTTTGGTGAAGAACTGAATGGGAAAGTTGATGCAGTGTTTTTGGATCTGCCAAGTCCTTGGGCTGGTATCCCTCATGCTGTTACTGCTATAAAGGAGGAAGGTAAGTGTTAAAATAATTTTCACAATTTTTATTGTATTTAAATAAACATCAAATAACAAATATTAATAGAAAAATTTACCTCCAATTAAAAAATAAATGATTATTATTTTATTAAGGCACCTTCATTTTTTGTCATTGAATGTTATCTAAGCCATTTTTGATGAAGTTCATGAAAACGATTTTGCCTCCAATATAGATATGCTCTATATAATATTTGATGAAAGGTTTATTTTCTTGTTTCCAAAAGTCCTGTAGATATAATTATTTTTAATTTTATTCCATCTTATTTAAACTTAACACTTAATAGTTACCTAACATAGATTTGTAAAGCTGATTTTGAACTTTAATACATTAAAATACATTTAAAATCGAGTGACGACATTTGACATAAGGTCGTGATGTGCTGTTGACTGTACTGGGTAGTACTTTACTGTAGTGTAGTGGCATCACATATCACGCGTCAACTAATAACTAATCCAGATAAGGCGAATAACACGAGTGAGTCTCAGATAGCAAGTTTTAGTCTGTCCGGGGTTGAGAATGTATTAAAACTTTACAATATGCCAATTAATGGTTTTTTTCCAAACATGATGTAAGAATGTATGTTGCATCAGTTAACGTGCATTTAATATTGTCGAATAAATCACAATATTTTTAATTCCAAAATCCTAAGCTCTTTAGCGTGTCCGTTGCATACTTATTATTTTATAAAGCATTAAACTCGGTTTCCAAATAAAAAAAGGAACAAAAAGTACTAGTACGTAGTACTATAGATGGATATGAAGTGATAAATTTATTGTTTAATAGAGCTAGAGCTTATTTAAGAAGAAACCTGAATTATTATTTATTATTCTATTTTTATGAACACATTCTAATTTCCTTGGCAACTTTTCTAAGTTCTTTGACTAATTTTCTAAGAGCTTTGGTTACTTTTATTTTTTTTACGAAATATAATATCTTTTGAGTGTGAGTGTGATTGATAAATATATATAAAAGTCTTTCTTTCTTTCAAGTGCTGTTTTAAATTTATTTATATGTTAACTTATCTATACGTATACAATGCGACTTTAATGAGGAAGTATTAAAAAAAATTTGCTACCAAAATCAAACTAGATTTCGCTACGGTATTTTCTTGATTTCTCCATGACAATCATTTCTTTCATGTATAAAAGTAAATTAATATTCAAAACTCAATAAACAACTCATATTATATTTGTACTTTTTCGTATTTGTATTGATATCTAAGTTTCGAACATCGCAAATTTCAGTTTTTTAATATGTTAGTTAAAAGGAACGGAAATGACTATCTTTGATTAATTCGTTTTCTGCAAAAATCAACTTTTGCTAGAGTCGCCATCTAGTGAGATGCTTTCTTTTTTTTTTAATACTTCCTCACTCTGTAGTCGCTTACAACCGAATTAGAATCGACTTACAAACACTATAAGTCGATAAGAATCGAGTGAAAGTTTCTATTGAATTACAATCACACATGCTACAAATCTCGATTACAAATGCGCACAACCTAGATAAGAAATCGATTGTAAAGCAGGAAAGGGAGATCCTTATAAATCGCCAATCCGATTGTGATCTGATCATCGGTGTCAATTATTTAGATCCTCTAGTAACATATTCGATTTTAATCAATAAATTTACTATCGTGCTGGTTAGGGTATTCAAAATCGATGCAACGTTACGAAAGTACTAGGCTTGTATATGGTTGTCACATAATTATTTACTAACGAGTTGCGTATGAAAGTATTAGAACGAATTGCAAATAAATAAAAGACTCGTAACTCTCTGAAAATTGTTCCAACCGTACATCATGATTCACCTACTAGTAAAGTAAATTATAAACTAGTGTTAATGATAGATACACGTCAGCAGGCATCCCGCGTAACTACACTTACATTTATTAGGAAATATATAACCTTTAATACACAACTGTCAAATGTCGCCAATCGATATCAACATTTGTGTGGTTAGTATTAGAGTTGGAATTTGTTTGAATTGTCAGAATCATATGCAATAGGCTTACGTACAAGTATGTTTATATTAATATCTACAGTCTTTTGTTCATGTTATATTATTTACTTACTCATTATTGCCATGAAACGATGTAAATTAACTACCAACCTACAAATTCTACAAAACATCACACTTTGTCCATCGCATAGACATTTAAGGAGATCCTTACAATCAAAATGTCAGATCTGGCCATATTTTCATGTTAAACCGGATCCAATTTAATATGAATCATAGGTGAATCGTGGTCGACAGCCCTGTTCATTTGGCTAATTGGTAAATGGTAGCCGTTATAACTAAGTGGTAGATACGGATCGCGCTGATCGTGTCTCTCACCGACAAACGACACACTGACAGCTGTTAGTTATCCTTGAAAGTGCTATTAGGAGTACTATTGTGTCGTCCGCTAGCGACTAGGTCCCTTGTGAAGTTAATTAGTCGATATAATCTTAAGAAATCAGTGTGTACTCTGTGGGATATGACCTTATTAATATTTCTATATATTCTCCTAGTCTGCTTTTACTTGAAGTATTCGAATGGACTATATACAAAAGGATAGGCAGTACAGTCGTAGTAACATATTTGTTATTCATACACGGATGCAATAGGATAATTATGACGTCATAATCTAGCTAATCATCGACAAGAACAGCAAGTGGACCAACACGTTCAACTCAGATACATACAGCTTATGCTGACCATACCATGTGGCATTTATACTAATACTAAAAAGCGGAAAAATTTGATTGTTTCTTTGTTTGCATTGAATAGCCTCCAGGACTACTGGATTTATTTTAAAAAATCTTCTACCTACGGAAAGCTACATCGCGGCAAACTTTCTAGTCTCGGATATATTCAAACCACTTTTTTTTATAACATTTTACTAGTTCTATATGTCAGCTTGTGTAGCAATCATTTGAACTTCAATACAAGCGTATCTAACAAACAGAATAATTCATAGTTCTGTAAGCTTATTTATTTCACGTCAGCGGTCGTCCAAATATGTCCTATTAATAAATGGCCAGGACTGTTATACCCCATGACAACAATAGTCATAACAAATGTATGACATGTGTATTCTTTTTGTTGACTGCGGCAAGAATTGAGTTATTATTATAAGTTCGGATATGTTAGAAAGTTTTTAGATAAAATGTTCATTAAGACAGATTTCATTTATTTATTGTAAGCGTTATAATATAGTCATGTACATTAGTTAGTGCACTTTCTACGGAGTATGAATGTGGAGCCCAGGAATCACAACTAGAAATTTTTATAATATTTTGATTAATTTGCATTCACAATGCCATACTGGAAAATATTCTTAATACAAAATGCTTAACAGGGACCAAGTGGATATTTCAAGCATTTTGTATTAAGAATAGAAATTTTTATTTTATGAATATTTTCCTTAAATACTATTCCCCATGTCTTAAAGTCAACTTTCACCTATGGTTACTTTAAACAGTGTACTTTTTTGAAACGAATATACTTTTAATTATACCTACAAATTACAATGGCACACTCGACAGAAAACAAAGTGGTACTTATATTAGTTTCAGTGAATTACACTATCTTAAGGAAAATTGTGTACTCACAAACTAAATTGAAAATCAAATTGTCAGAAACTGCAAACACCTAGTAACTATTTGAAATGAAATCTTTCTTAGTCCCATCTGATCAATTAAAATGCGATTTGGTAATTCAGGTAGCATTCCACGAAATCTTTAATTCCCTAGACCTTGCATTTACACTTCGATAAGTACACTAGCAAGTTATTTAGTGAGTGACAAGTTTTATATTTGTAATACTCATTTGAACAGTAAAATCAGGTTAAGTAACATATTGTGAATTTAACTAAAGAACGCCTGTCTTCCGGTCACTTTCAACTTCACCAAACTTAAATAATCGTCTCGGTAAGGGAGTTAGGTATAGAGCGAATAGTGCATAATTATGTCTGTAAAACCTGAATGTAAAAGATCAAGTGGGTAACAGAACGCTCGTCAAACTAACACAATACCCTGCGGTCATACACTAAACAGGAACAAATATCCACATTATTCCCGCGACATATCGCTAAGAGAACAAAACCACCGTGGTGGTCCGTGTCTCCGCGAGACAACCCTGAGGCAGCCACACCAGACGTTATCTACATGTGAAAAATTGCCCGCTTTGTGCTTTTACCAGAAACGATCCCGAGAAAGCGCTTTGTCAAATTTCAAACTCTAGAGCGGAAACGAATTTCTGCCACGGTTTTGTTTTAAGTTTACCTAAGTAATACAAATTGGGAAGCGTTGATGTTTTGCTCCATGTATTTCGTTAGTATACCTATTCGTCGATAAGTTCTACGCTTCCAACGTAGTTACGCTTCCAAGTTTCCAACTGTGTTCGTTTTCTAGTACAAATCTTAGCTTAATTTTATTTTCTGGACTTTTGTTCACGACACCCCGTCCACTTTGGCGATTTTTTTAGTTTTTCAATGTTTTTTTTTTTTTGATATTTTGCGTCTATTGTTCGATTCTGAAATGTGTTACGCTCATCAGCTTGTTTCTTTGTTTCAAACTAAAATATAAGGCGTCGAGTCAATTACGCAAGTCGATAACAATTTTCTTATTTTCCCAACAACAACTTTTTTGTTCGAGTAATTTTAAAAAATATCCAGCCTCTCTTGATTTAAGTGATTCATCGTCGTCATCATCATCATCAGCCCTTTCACGTCCCCACTGCAAAGGCTCAGGCCTTCCTTATGGATGGTTAAGGATGGGTCATGACCCTCCACGCTGGCCCAATGCGGATTGGAGGGAGTGGATAAGTGATTGATGGATAACAATCACTTATTATTTACAGACTATGAATGTATTTTCTCTTATAATTCACCATAAAATTAAATATCTGTACTAATCATTAGAATCGCTTCAATTAAACGTTCGCTAAAAATACAAACTACCAACTCAGCCTCTCTTGACCTTTTGTATCTACAA